TTATAAAAACTTTATTATGAATAAAATACTTTTGTTTTCATTAATATGTTTTCTTCTATTGTAGTCAACATGCAATATTTGCATTTTGTTATTGCTTTTGTACTTATTATGCTTATTTGACGTTGTTTTTGTTCAATCTTTTGTTGCTTTGCGCTAACTACAGTCGCAATGCTTGTGGTTGTTTTTATTATTATACTCTCGCAGCATGTTGCTACGGAGTATTATGGTCTTGTTCACCTAGCGGTTGTTTGTAACACCTAAAACTAATCGAGTTAGATACAGAGTTATATATATATTAAAAATCAGTATGACGAGACGAGTTGAATCTCGAGTGATTGTGCGTTTGTCCGTCCGTGCAAGCCGTGAAATTTGGGGGAGAAAACGGGAAAATGTTATTAAGCGAAAACATATATGTACATATATAAAGGGCTATAACAAAATTCCAAATAAAGACACAAAACTGTTACAAAATATTCGGTTACACCCGAACTTAGCGCTTTCTTACTTGTTTTTTGATCACTTGCTACTTGTTAAGCTCTTCTGCTTTCTTTTTTATGCAGTAGCGAGACAGTTTCTCTATTTTTACAAAAACAAAGAATAAGCGCGTTCAGTTTTTCATTTACAGATCCATACATATCTACATATGTACATTTAATTTTCATATACTTGCGCTTGCGTGTGAATTGGTGCAATTACTAAATATGTTGACCACTTTTTTGGCTGTGGCAAGTGCATATTTCATGTAGCCCTACTATTGTTGTTGTTGTTATTTATGTTTTTTCTTTTTCAAACTTATGTTTATTTTTGGTTTTTATTGAGCGCAGTTCTTGAGCTGGGCTTTGTTAATATGTTGTTGTAATTTCCGATTTTATACAGTTCGGTTGTAGTTGTATGATATGGATTTTCCTTTTCTGTGTTTAGGCTCTTTACACTTTTTACATTAAGTAATTGTTGTTGTTTTTGCAGTGTGGTTTTTCTGTTATAATATGTATGCTTTATATGTTTATGTTTTCGACATTTTGCGTTTTGCGCTTTGCCTTTTTCACAGTCAAGCATATGTATACCCAAATATAATTATGTACAAATACACATACATACATATTTACATGCACGTATTTCTGTTTATTAATACAAGTATATTTTTCGTCTGCTTCGTGCTTCTGAATTTGATTTCTTGTTATTTGCGTACCTTTTTCGCCGTTTGTATGTCAAATTGTATTTATTGACTGTGGTTTTGTTTTGATTTCAATAAACTTCGCTATTGTTGGCACTTGCTGTAATAATTACGTTATCTGATTTTTGTTGTTATAGCTGGTGCTTTTATGCCAGCTTTTCCAACTTTCGCATTTTATCTGCGCTTATATTCGTTGTTTAATTTCAACTTTTTGCCTTCTTGGCTTGACAAACGAAAGTGTTTGCCTCTGTAACTCTCCGTTTTCAGTTAGCCTACATTGATATTGATATATATGGTAGATACATGTAGATATTTACATATGAGAGTACCCTACAAGAAACTGCTGATGGGTTCACCAATACACTCAAATTTATTATGCCAGTACTGACGAACAGTTTACTTGTCAACTGACCATCACTGGTATTGTTAAACGAGACATCTTCGAATTATATTGCTTACATCTGTAAGAATGAAATAGCTGAAAGCTTTAGTACTGTCACCACTGACAGTCAAATTAATAGTAGAATGATGTCAAAAAGGGACGCAAAAAATTCGATATACGTTTCTCAACAACTGCGCAAAACAATTTTTACTGTTATTATACTAATACAAAAAGTGTTGCACGCTTCTGTGCAAAACTCTGGATTTTTATGAAAGAGAGGAGTTTTCCATATAGTATATGATTAGGGAAAGACGTACGCAGAGGTATTGAGAGGAGGAGATGGAATCAAGTGAAAATTTCGTTTCATAATGTATTATTTAATTATATTTTTGTTGCACTCCTTTTTTATATTTATGTATATTATTATAACAAATTTTAATTATAAGTTTTGAATCTATTAAAGAAATAAAAAGGATATTATTTACTGCGCAAAAGAATTTTTCACTTGTGCTAGATATACAGTCATAACTGACAATTTTCAGGTGGATTTATGGTCAGCAATGTTCCAAAAATAACGGAAACCGTGACAGCGAGCAGTATAGAAATATGGGTAATCAATTCCAGATACCAATATGTTAAAAAGAGATCTCAAGTAAAAGTTTGTTTACATCAGTTTTGACACACGGCCGTTAAGAAAATGTAAGAAACATTGTTCTACTAGCTGACAAAATTTTTCCAGCTGTGACTGTGAAATGACCGTTAAATGATTAGCACTGTTCTAGTAGGAGCGTTACCACTAGTGTGTGTATGTGTGCTGTAATTGTTGCGTGTGCGGAAATATGTATTAAAATTATGCAAAATTCAATTACCAACAGTTTTTTTTTAAAAACCGTAAACTTAGTACGAGAACATAATAATGTGGGCAAGAACATATTATGAAGCCAAGAGGAAGTTAAAAAGTTTGGTGAAACTTTTGTTTTGTATGAATGTAACGATTTGTTTTCGATGTACAATATGTAAATTGTCAACGCATCTGATTTTAACACACTTTTGAGACAAATAAAACTTGGTATTTTGTGTATATGCATAAAATAGTATTTTATATTTCCTTACAAATATTTGCACAGTAAATATCAAAAATTGGCTAGAAACTTTAAAAAATATAGTTCAGAGTTTTTGCTTAAGAATGCGCTTTGTTATACAAATTTACATTTGAATGTGTCTGTTTTATAGCTACTTTAATAAAACAAATAATATATAATACTAAATTTTATTTAAAAAATATTTTTTATAGGTAAAAGTTGTATACTTTTTTGATAGATTTTATTTTATTTTTATAATATTCGCTTTGGTGTTTACACTTGTCTATTTTTAGTTCCAGATAAAAATACCTTATCAATTTGCATTATTTTTATTGACTTTTAAGCGCTAGGCCACATTACATATGCATATACTCAAGATTAGCTAATTTTCATACACATGAACATAACCTAGCCACACATTTATGTGAGTGCATATACATATGCCTATGTACATAAGTATATGTGTTTGTCCATATATAATACAGATGCAAGCATTCAACAAATTAGTGATGGCATTAGTGCGATTTTCCGTGTAGCAAAATGAGGAATTCCCACTAAAATTACAAATTGTGCTAAAAATAAATATTTGTATAAATGTATAACAAAGCCAAAGTCAAATGCAGTGTGCATGTACGTTTATGTGTGTCGTTTTAAATGTTTTCAAATATTTCTAGGAAAGTGAGTCTCAACAATTGTTGCTTAGGATTTATTATAACAAAAATTAGTATAAAGTAATTCCAGCTAACGGAAGATTTTTAATTCTAAATATTGATAGTAGTAAAATTATAGCGGCAAGTAGTGTAAATTCCTCAATTTGACGTATGTACAAATGTGCAAAAAAGTAAGCACTATATAAATATTTTAAATATATTATATATTTTTTATTCTTGCAATTTGTTATCAATATTTTTTTTTCATTAAAAATTATCCTAAACACAAATAAGTGACGAAAAACTTCACTCACACACTTCTACTACAACACATTGTATATGCATAAGTATCGCAATTTAGTGTGTAAATCTCTAAGACGTTGAGAGGAAGCGAAACTTTCAGGAGAACGGCTAGTTGTGTAGAAATGTCCGCATAATCGAAGAAAAAACGGAAAGTATAATATTTGGTTATAAAATGCTAAGAAATGGTAATAGCATCAAAATAGTATATAAAAGTAAAAAAACAAGAACAAAACGCTCAGAATGCAATAACATATAATCGAAAAAGACACACAACATCAAATCAAATCAACGAAATGAGAACGTGAAAAGAGGAAAAAAAAAACAGTTTTATGCTTCGACAATACAATTAATTTTCGCAGAACGAAACGATTCATACGCTCCAAGCTGCTGGCTACGCCAAATTCGAGCTGGGTACTTTTTATACATATTACTTTATGATTGTTCGGTCGACTTGTTCGTCTTGTTGTTAATTGTCGCACGGCGTAAACGACAGCAACACGCCATAAGGGCAACGCGGGCGCAGCGGCACAGGCCAGCCAGGCAGTAGACGACAGACGGCTGAGTGAGCGTGGCGCAGCATCCGCTCAAGTCGATTCAGTCAGTGCGGTGAATATCCGCATTTTATAGTTTATAGATGTTAGGCCTGCCGCAGTTGTTGTTGTTGTTTGTGTGCACACTTTTCGTTGCTGATAAAAGTACTGAATAAGTCATCAACACTTGTAGCGCTGGAATTATTATATAGCGATGAGCTACCTTATTTGAAATTGCGTATTCACGCTGGTCCAATGCAGTACGCGTTGTCACATTGGCAAAGCCACAGCAATTTGTAGGACTGTTTGTACATACATAGTGCATACATATGTATATACATTTGTATTTATAAACAACCGCACAATTTTCCACAACAAAATATTGCAAGCTTCTCCTTTGGGTGGGGAGTGGAGATACATCTTTTTGATAAGCCATTGGTGCAGCTAGATAGATGGGGTGGGTTCATGAAACACTATTTTTGCTTGCAGCTTTAATGAACTAAAAATATGGTGACGTCATCTAATTGATTTATATTTTTGTATATTTATTTTAAATTTTTTTTCATAATTTTAACTTTTTAATTAGTCTTTAAATTTGAAATTTGATTAATTTTTTACATCTATGTCCTATATAATTATGTATTTATGTACCGGCTTACGTACATACATATATATTATGTATAGGTAAGGTTCACTCTTACTATGTTTGAGTAATTAATTAATCACTTGCCTTTGTAAGGCTACTACTTTTTCGCATCTCAACCATTCTTCATACAGACATACCATACAGTATACCATCATATACGCATCCATATATAAATATATATGTACATAAGTACGTAGTATAAGTATCGGTAACTCCACTTCACTCGTACTCACCTCGGCAAATTCGCCAGATAGCGTGACTGCTTCTCCCGTCGCAGCTCGTCTGTTAGACGACAATACGTATTATTGATGCACACGCTACGGCGGAGATTCGTCTCCGAATCCTTGATCCGCTCTAACTTGTGCGCACACAATTGCAATATGCGTTTGCGTTCTTCGCGTTGACGCAGCTTTGGCGATATCATGGGCACACGCGAGCGATGATGATGATAGCCGATGGGCGAGGAACGTGGCGGACCAAACATATCGGAATCGTCGTCGCAACCGTTCACTGTTGTTGTTGTCGGCAAGGTCATTTTGCTTTTACTTGTTGCTGTGCGCCTTTACTTTAATTGCGTGTAGCTTAATATACAGTAACAACAACAAGTGTTGTTGCTTCACCTTCGTAAGTGTTTTTCGCTTGCTTGTTGGTTGTTTATTGCTTTGTTGTTGTGTTCACTTCTTACTCGCTTTGACTGTTAATTGAATTTCTCGCACAAAACTTTTGCTTCACCACTGTGCAGCGCTGCTTGTGCACTGTGTGGTGACTGGCGTCGTGTTAAATGTGGTGAGTCTGGGGTTGAGTAAAGTAGCGTGTGGTAATTTGCCACCAAGTCACAGACTTCACCCTTTTGAGTGGACTTGAGAAAATTTTAGCTACTGCTATTATTTATAAGTGTGTGTGTGTGTGTGCCTGCTAAGGCAACTTAAGTATCTTTCTAAAACGATATGCTAGTTTTTCTGAACTGATTTTTTTTTAAGTTTTTTTTAGCAAATTACTTAAATATTCTTACATTTTAAGGTTTTTAATCTTTACCGTTTAGTGGTTGCTTAATTTGGCTTTGTATTGTGCACCGTTTATGTATACATTTAACTCAAGAGCATAACACATCTATTTAAGAGCGCAGAAAAACTTGTTCAACCACTTGGCTGCCGCGTGTGTGTTCTTGCCTGCGTGCTTGTTGTAACGTTTGGCTTCTTATGTGTTTGTTGCTATGATAGATCACTGCAATTGCAATTTGTTGTTAGTTGGCTGCCGCCGTCGCTGGTGCTTCTGCTTCTCTTGTCTGTTGCAAGGCAAACCACAATTTATTTCCACTTAATAATTTTTTTGTTTTGCTGTTGCTGCAACTGTGGCAGATTGCTGATTTGTTTTGTTTTTAGCTTTGGCCTTTTATGTGTGTATGTACGTGTTTGTGAAGTTTTGTCACTGAATTATTCAATTTTAATTTAAATCACACAGATCTTTTCTCGCTTTGCAAGATTCTGTTGTAAAAAACACTTTCACAAAATGTTAGTTAATTTTTTTTATTAAATTTTTTATTATACAGTTTTTAATGTGATTTGAAATTTTAATTTCTTGATAATTTTTCAATTTTTAATAGTGCACACTATTCAATTAACACGCGTGTAGTTTATTGCACTTGTCTATTTCACAAAAATATGCTGCCAAAATTCCTACACTACTGTTATTTTTTTAAATTTTTTTTATTTATTGCTATGCAAATAAATCACAAGCCCACTATTTTATCTGCTAATGGGTATGGTTGCGGTTGGTTGTGCGCTGTGACTGCTTCAATGTAATGGACGTTTAGTCACTTAATTAGTAGTCAATAATATGTATGTATGTATGTATTTCTGTTTTATTAATTTTTAAAATGCACTTGATTTTTACACAATAAAAAAAAATTATTTACTTTAATGTTTTGTGTTGTACAAATTGTTACTTTTTTAATTTGCTAACATACATTTATTCATAACGTTGAAAATTCAAAATAATCCACGGCCTTTTGAATTTTCACGCTTTGGCTTTTTGATGTATTGCAATGTTTGATTTATGTTTATTTGTAAATGTTATATTTTTAATTGCAGGTAGTACGTTTACAATTACTATAAACAATTGCACAAACGCTCTGAATATAGTATATACAAAATATAATTTACACAAATTTTTAATTCTTGCTTTCTCTTAGTTTTTTTTATTACTATTGTTTTTGTTTGTTGCAAATTTTTGCGTTTATTTGTCAATAATTTTAACAATTATGCACTTAATTAATTTTACAAAAAATAGTTACAATAGATTTTTTTATACAATTTAGCATGTTCTTGTTGTTGTAGTTTTATTATCAACACACAATTAATTAATTATGATTACATTGTTCAGTTACAGTTCAGCTATTGTTATTACTACCACCGTTCATTCGCTAGTAATGCATTTGTATTTGTTTGTTGTTGTTGTGCTGATGCCGTGAGTCTGTGTGTGGCTCTTGCTTTTCATGTAAGCGAGAGTCTCTTCAAAATTATTGCTTTTGTTGTAGACAGATAGAGCTCTAGCTAGTTGGCGTTTAGTACTTGTGGTGAAAACAAACGTTCCGCGTTTATTTCGAAGCACGTCCACACGGTTCTCACGTTCACAGTGAACTGAACTGTAGTCTACCCGTCAATTGACTGTTTGGTTCGGCTGATTGTGGCAAACCGACTGATTTCAACTGACAGACGGAAAGCAGGCGGAAGGCTGAATAGTGTACAGCGCCATAACAGTACGGTAACAGAATCAACAGCTTGACGACTGACAACAACATCAGCGGAGCGTTTACCGTGGCGTTATGAACGCTTTGGAGTAAGGCCAATAGTACATATTTACATATCTCTATATAAGTATATGTGTTGCTCTGTAGCTGCAAATGCAAGAGAATAAAGGCGCACCAGTCAAGGCAGATAAACAGTCCACCGCAAAGAGTACGAGAGAGCGCGCGCATTGCATCTGTTGTTTGTAGGTAGCTGGAATGTACGTAGAATGCTTTTATGGCTCGCCTTCTGTTTGATCGGAGTGTGCTCGTGTAATAACAGCCCCAATAATGCAGACGCCACAGGCACTCAGCTAGTCGTTACATTAGTAGCTTCGCCTACAATGTTCAGCACATTTCCCCCCGTATTGTAATGCCGCATCTGAATTGTGGGTAACCACTGTAACGTTGTGACAAGCCGACGGTTATACTTGAATTCGCAACAAAAGCGCGTTAATAAGCGATTAGAGCATTGAGTAGCGCAATGTCAAATGAACTAGGCAGCAATAATAATCATAAAAAGGAAAACAAGAAGAAGTAGTCAACGAAATACAGTAACAAAAACATCAAGCACAAAGTGATATATAATTTAAAAAAAAAGCTGGTTTAACTGCGTAAGCGGCGAGCGAAGAACAACGGTGTTTGCCAATACCTAAGAGCAATCGATTTGACTGAGTACAAAGAGAGCACAACGAGGGGCACACTTAATCGTACTCACGGTTAGTAGACTACAAAATTAATTTTCAGGCATACTGAAATTACCAATTTAAAGCTTCTAACATAATTTAACAAACATACTTAGGGAAATACTAACACACATGTGCAGTGGAATATGCATCAATTCATACAAATATATATAATTATATATATGTATAGGCATATTTATGGACATACATATATACATATGTAAGTTATAGTTACATACAAACATCACAACAAATACGTTTTTGATATTTGTTTCCTTGTGAGTTTACTCACTGTAGGCTAGATTTTAGCTTTGTTTGGTAAAAGGGGTAGGATGAAACGCTTGCAAAAGTGTAAGTAAATATATGTCTACACATAACTACATAGGTACATATGTATGTACATGAATAAATATATTTATGGGTATAAATATGCAGTTATTTTTCGCTTTTAATGCGCTATTTTTTCTTAATATTGACTTGCTTTAATTTGCTGTCCAGCGACTGCTAAGGGCTCACCTAATATTCTGAAATACACACATGTAATCATATATACAAACATTTGCTTGTACACACAAATATCTACATACGTAGCTTAATTATCCACATTTTAAGCTTTTTTTTTTGTTATCTTACTTTCGTCAACATAAATTTATGCGCGTCTAACTTTCCACGTCACGTCTTCGCCTCCCCTTGCTGTATTATCTTGTAGCCTTTTTGGTTTGGTAGGCTATTTAAACAAGAGAGTAAGCAACGACGTCAGGCTTGTGTTTACTTGCATGTGTGTGTCAATGCTGTGACGCTCTCTTTGACCATAGCAGAGGCAATGAAACAGTTCATTAATTTTTGCAAATAAAATTTAGACATTCTGTTACTTGCTCAAGTACAAGCGGTTATTCATGTACGTACACACGTATGTATATTTGGTGTAGCTTTGTATATATATATGTATGTATGGTGTACATGCGAAGGTTTGCTTAAGCGTTCACTTAGGTTATTGCTTTATTGCTGAATTAATATCTTTGAGAGGGCATTAACTTAACGTTTTATTAGTTTTAGTTAAATGTATTCAAAGGATTTAGCGAACATACCATATAATAACATGCACAGACGTATGTATATACATATGTATGTACATATGTAAATAAACATACTATGTGTACGAGTATAGTAGAGCTATGCTATTACCTGTCTGTCGCTACTGACCGATACCAATTTCGTGTGAATGAGTTTGTTGGTGCTTGAGGGTCAGACGTCTAAGTCAAAGGAGTTTTTGCTGTATATGTATGTAAGTACATAGGAGAGATATTTAAATTGTATATATATATAGTATGTATACGTATGTACATATATACATATGTACATATATATATTTAAACCTTTTAAAAATGGGTTTTTAATGAAGAAAGAAGCATACATTCATATATACACGTGTTGATGGATATAAGGATTTTATTGACACACACATACCTACATATGTATATTTAGGGGTTAGATCAGTCTACGTCTTTTAAAAAACCCCAAAAAAGTTTTCGATTATAACAAAGGTGCTAAAAAATTATTCAATTGCTGGAATTGTGAAAAATAATCGTTTCCTGTAATCCACTGTATTGTCGAAACGTTTGTGTGAGTCAGTTTCAGCATATGAAACTTTAAAAACGTTTATCTTGAAAATGAAATTTAAACTGTAGCTTCACAGTAATATCGACTAAGTACGTTTTGTTATTATTGCGATTGTTTTTATAAACAATTTGCTGTTAATTTGTCGGTTCAAAAATTTCGCATAAGGCCGCCATAATGGGGAAAACCGATGTTAAACTAATTAAATATATGTATGTACTTAATATATCGTCACCTAAAATGCTAAATAACGTAAGATCACATTTCATAAATTTACAGGAGTAGAAAATGCAAACGATAATAATAGTATAGAAACTATTCATATTGAAAGAAAATTAGAAATTTCGTTATAAATTGGTTTTATCCTATAGCGGAAGCTTATAATTTTGTACAATACGTAATATAATGTAGTGAATCATACTCAATACAAAACTCAATTTCGAATTTTTTGATAATACGTTGTTTTGCATTTGTATGTTGATCCCGCTTTCTATTTTGTTTCCGATTGAGCTCTCTTAAAAAAGTGATTCCGAAGATTGGCCCAGTGTTTGATTAAAAATTCTTTAAAGAAATAACTTCCATTCTCTTTTTTTACTCTCAGAATAAATCAGAGTAATCAGGCGAAACTCGGAGATATACTCTTAGCATAATAGGAAGAACTTACAACTACTTCTTTTATAACGTTATTTTTTCAATCTACTTCTTTGGCAAGGGTAGAGAGAGTTTAATATATTGTAAATAGTAACACTAACGTGAGAGGTAATCACAGAATCAAAACCTCGCTTTTATTTATATAACGGCATCGCTTTAACTTGACAATATGCACTAAAATATTGGATATCTAAATGAAACTAAGTTGAAAATTTAAATCATATACAACAAAAAAAAACTAAATAAATAAATACAAACGTGTTTTCAATAAATAGTGTTTTTAATTTTTGTCCGTTAATCATGATTATCAAAAAAATTTTCCACATTTTAGCATTTTTTCTTAAATTTGTTTTTGGTCCGAAGCATATCCATCCCAGTTTTCGATGCATGCGTCTGGCGGAGGTGTTAGGTCAGGATCCCTTTCGATACTCAGTTTGAGAGCTAACAGACCCTGATCCAACATGCGTTCCCATTTGTCAACTTTCGATGGAGGTGGTGTAAGATCAGCATAGTTGTCAGAGGTTTTATCTTGGTCTAGCATGAGTTCCCATTTATTAAAAGTCGGTGAATTTGTAAGATTGACGTTGTCATCGGATGCTTTATCCTCATCTGAGATATTTTCAGATTTGCATTCTTCCACAGAATGCGGCGACAATGGTATTGGGTTGCCAAAATTTTGATTTCTGTCAGCTTGACTGTTATTTAAGCTGTTACCAGGAGTAGGGTGTTTTGAAATATTATCCCCTATAACGCCTGCAAAGCATTCTTTTGTCACCGATCCTCGATATATATTATACTTACATTGTGACATATCGATTACGATTGGTTTAAATGCGAAGTTAAGCCAAGAGCCCATTTTAACAAATCTTTGGAACTAATAGTATTTTATTTGCGGAAGTTCGGTTCTGTAGGACAGTTTCCACAGGAATGGATAATTTTTTAAGTTTTGGATCTATTTATATATCCAAATGAAGACATGGGCAGAAGAAATAAAAGGACTACATAAATCCAGGTAAAGCAATTTTAAATAAAGCTCTTAAATTGCTTAATTCTGCGTATTATGAAAGGGTAACCTTAAGTAAATAGTAGGGGTGTTGAGAACTGATACATAACTCTTTTGTATTATTTGTGCTGTTTAAAGACCTTCACATATTGAAATTACGGTAGTTTTGTGCGTACATACCTCACAAAAATATGTAGCATATGCTTTAAAAAGGGAAAATCCGCAAATTTTGCAAATTTTCTGTACAGCTTACATAGAAAATTATTAACATGGTTGATAAACGGCAAAATCCATATTAAAATATAATTTTTAATTTAATTTGTTCCTTTTTATATTACAATTATTATTTTTTCTAAATTTTAAGATAGATATTTCATTTATAATCGTAAGTTACTTTAGACTTTCTGCTCATTTAGGTGGCGTTATTATACATATATACTTCCAGTATTTATCTGCTTTTGTTATTTTTAAGTGCTTATGTAATTAGACACGGGCGTAATGCTGTATGTACATACATATGTATAGTATATGTATGTTTTTGCCAACGTAAGCTGTTATCTGAAACGAAAAATGCTGATAACATGTTAATTGAAAATCTTGCCTTCATTTTTGATTTGGGTGGGTTGTGAGATTCTTTTGACCGATAAGTAAACGGTAAATAAACGAATTTTGACGAATATATTTTAGCGCAAGAATTATTACTATAATTACCCAGCAGAAGTAGGTATTTGGGAGAGCTTCTATTAAAATATACTATTACTATTAATATGAATATGCAATTCATTCTTTTTTGCGCAGTTAGCTAAGATTTAAAATTATCCGTGCGAAAAAAATAAAAATTTCATATAAAACCTTTATATATTTACAATTTTAAAATATAGTTAAAAGATATGTTCAATTAAAGGTATAATCTCTTGCTACTCTATATATTAAATACTTTTATTCGATTCCTTTGCTCGCAATGTGTTAGTTATTTATTTCATTGAAGTATGTCGATTATTATTAACCGCCTATATTTGACTAACATACTATATATCAGTCGTTTGTTCGACTCGTTATTGTTAAAGATATGTTTTAACTAAAAGTATGTAGGAAATTTAATAATAATGTATTTTAAAATAATATATATACAACAGAAAATCATATGTACTATAAATACATGAACCTTGGCTGCCTACAAAGTTGTTCCAGCACCTTTCCGCCTAATTTTTTTTTATCAAATAACAACTTTGTTGCTTTTTGGTGCATCAGCTAACTTATATATTTATAAAGACATGCACAAAATGAAAAATTTCAAAATTATGTATTGATATTCTCATATATATCCGCCAATATAAGATCGTATGTCCTTTGGATTAAATTAAATCATTAGTGAGGGATTTTTCATTTTGTGCTGAAATTTTATAGACTTCGCAAAAAGTAATTTCGAAGCAATGATATTCTCGTTTACTTGTTATATACATACAGCTGCGAGCAATGAAATAGTAGTTAGATTTGTTTTCAATTGTTAACAATTTTAAATAGGTTAGGCTCTGGTTGCATTGTAAATGTAAAACTCCCTTTCCGTACTATGTTTATAAATAAAAAGAATTTAGTTCGCACAGTCTAGTCTATAACCTCAATTGCATTGACCCGAAAGCATTTCTGTGCAAGCCTACTATTGTCCTGGGGGAAGACCCATTTATTTTTTGCAAATGGTAGCATAACCTTATAATAATGCCTTCAATTCGTTGGATCGGACCAACGCCTCTGTATGAGAAACAACACCATACCATTATACTTGTACTGGATCCACTACGTTTTTTTTATCTATGAATATATGATGTAAATATGTATGTATGGCTGTGCCTATGCGAACATTATTGAGTGAAATTTCTGTATCGTTAGTAAATACGCTCTGAATTATTACTTACTGTTCTGATTTATTTTCATTTCTTCGCTCCCACCTATTAAATTAAGCAGAAAGTGCAAAGCAAATACTGAAGAAATGCAAGTAGATTTGAATTTCACATTGATTCTTTTTTAGAAGTGCATTGGCCATGACTTAAAAAATCCCCGTTGCTTGTTGTAGATAAGTGTTGCCTTGTATGTACATATATATGTATGTATATGTGTGTGCGCATACATATGTGTCCCCTTGCGGTTTTCGTGCTCGCTCTCTTTCTTAAGAGTGCAACTGCAAACAAAAACCAATAATTATATACATCCATACATATATTTGTATACATATAAGTGATCAAAATAAATACATGGATGTGTGTATACATATTCACACTTGAATCGCAGATGGCTTGTGTGACGAAAGAATGCAGCAAACCTCAACAGATTGCGCTCTGTTCGTTGTTCACAGCTGTTTACGCTCTCTAATCGAATATAATCAAAGGTTCCTACTAATTACATATTCAAATTTCAAACAATTAACAGCGCCTTAATTGAAATTAAAACGCGAGTGCGTCTTTCGAAGCGTTAAATAAGGCACACCGTTTGTGAAATGGGGAAATAGTGAAATTAGTAAAAAAGTTAATATTTTTTATATGTTTAATGAAAATTGTAAAATATGCTAATATTTGGACATGTTTGGCATACCCTATTCAGACATAAATATAAACATATGTATATCTGTATATACATGTACATATGTACATAAATATACATACATCTACTTATAAAATATATTTAACAAGGACTAATTTTCCGTTTATGTGTGTGTACGCGATCCGGTGATACGTGCATTTCGCAGCCCAGTTCATCAAGTATACCTCAGCGCGTTGCACTCTGCTCGCCCCAAACTTAATTACACATCAACAATGTGCTACTAAAATAAACACTTTATAATACATGGTGATGGAATACAAAAAAAGGAAACAATAGAAATGTGAAAGAAACAAGTATAACAGAAGCAAATGAGCAGCAAGCGCTCATGATTTTTAAACTGTCGCTCATTCGCCTGTTCTGTATATTTTTAAATATTTAACATAAAATTATCTTTTTAGTATAATCGGCTGAGCTGCAGAGAGCATGTGTGCGAGCGCGTGCGCTCTTCGCAAACCTGTTCTCACACACACGTTCTAGAGCTGTTTTCCTCTGTTGTATTTGCATTCTCACATGCTGTTAAGTCGGAATTTGCCGACCAAATGGGCATTCGCTATTACTCTAAATAATTTTATTTTTCAGAAATGTTTGGTGTTTAGCGTTGCTTCATAGCAATATTAAGCGAAACGACACGTTTTTAATATTTTTTTTTACAATGTACAATGGAGTTTTTGACTTAGCAATATGCTTACTTTATAGGCTCATAAAATTTTATGTAAGTATGTACATATGTACATATTACATATGAATACAAGCATGTTGTTCTGTTACTTGGTTTTCCCATTGTATTTTTTTAGTTGTGTGTTTGCAATTTTAAGAGTACAGTCGTTGTTCCATATATTTGTGCGCATTGTTTGTGATTTTCTTACTCCCTGTCCCTTGAATTTGTGTCGAGTTGCATGATTTCAGGGACCCCCTTTTTTCTATAACTTTTCCCTTCCTTTCAAGTTCTTGGCGTAGCCACAGAAAAAATCTACCAAATATATACAGCTATTTTAATTGATAATTAAGTTAAAATACGCGCAATTATCGTCGTTTTAAGGGTGGGACATTTACAATTGTACAAACTTACACATGTTTGTAGTCAGGTATAACTTAGCGAACAATCATATCAATAGTGTATTCTGTTAAGTGACAGGCTATAGCGAGCATTACATTTACATGGGTTCCATGATTCAATTATGTACATACAAACATATGTATGTATGTATATAAGGTTGTGTCGATATATTTTTTCAAACATTTCAGCCAACGAAAATATGCTTTTGAGTGATAACGGAATACGAATAGATTGTAATTCACAAAAAGTTATCTAAATCTGAACAAGAAGTCGGGTCAAAATAGACAATCAAGGTAACATAAATTTGCAACATACTGAAAGTTAATGATTATATTCAAACCATTATTAAAAATAACATACTAAAAGTTCTCAACGTTCCGATGTGTAGAAAAAAATATTTCTAGTCAAAGGTCAAAAAAATGTTAATTCACGACTTTCAACGAATTGGTAAGTAGTATCAAAAAATTACATTATACGAAAATTGTAATCATAAAATTATCTCAAGAAATATTTTTTTCTAAGACCTACCGTTTCTGAGATAAAATGGCTGTTACATATGCACACATTTCCACACCACATATGAGGTATGTACTTGTTTAGCGCAACGTTTTTGAATCGTTATATCTCAGAAACGGTAGCTCTTATTCAGTATTCCTACACTTTTATAGATAATTTTATGATTTTAAATTTTTGTCTGAGCTACATATGTATGTAATTTTAAGTATTTAAATTATGTGTTCTTTGAATGTTTGTAGCTTGCTCTTCATATCGGAATCGCTTCTTCATACATACATATTGAAGATTCTATGCGTTGTGAACTGTATTGAAATGGGAAATCTTTATATTATTTTTACTTTATTAAATAAAGTTGTAGAAAAAAAATGAATGAATGATGTCTGTCTTGTATGACTTTTAAAGTTTAGAAATATTTGTTGAATAGCCCTTTGTCAGTTTCAGTTCTTTTTGTTTTTATAAGTACATTGTAAAAATGTAGGTAACTGTAACCAGAAAGAGAACTCAGTGCTGGGTTTCTCCCAGCTTTCTAACAGCTGCATAAATTCAAGAAAATTGCTTCCCACAAAGTGAAAAAATCATCATCATAGTTGAGGGCTATGATTTACGCTTATTTGTTCAGCAGCTCAGTTCTATTTAAATATACATATGGTCATTCGTATGTCTTTTATTTAGTAATTTCATTCCAGCTTTTGCGCCAACTGATAGGACGCTACATGAGCGTTGTTGTTATCTCTAATGGTTCGCTGTGACGTATAATGTAGATATATACATATGTATGAATATGTTCTAACCAGCTTCTCGCTAAATATTATCTAGGTTGTATTGCTACTTGTTGATGTTGTTCCTTTATATTATTTTCGTTCGCTAAATTGTAATTTTTATATTTTTGTTTTCGAGTTTCTTTCTAATACATCTAACTTTTTATCAATTAAATATATATTATAATATATAATATACTTAGATATTTAGCATTAATTTCGAATTTATCATAGTTTAGTCGCTTTTTAGCAAAAATTTGTGTTTATGAAGTCAAATTGTTATTCTCCTTTTTTTCTCGTTTTATTATCGGCATTTGCTCGTTTATTCAATTGTTTGTTTGCATGCATTGGCTTATTTGGTTATTGTTGTTATTGTAGTGTTCATAATTCGTATAAAAGCGCGCTCAGCTATCTGGTGGAAGACAATAAACTTGTTTACAATTTTTGAATACATCGATGACGTCGCATTCACTTGTTTTTTACTCTTTGCAGTTGTTGGTGGGCAATACAAACAAGCTTGCAGCGTATGTAAATAACATACACGAATATTTTCATTTTGTTCCGCTTCTACCCGAATTGTTGATTTCAGTTGCTGGGGGTTTTCCTCGTTTTGCGTTAAGGTAATGCATACATACAAACATGTATACATATTTACAAGACATGATACGTAAGTATGTACATATGTTTAAGTGTGAGGAAATATAGAATTTGTATGTGCATTATTAAATAGAAATCCGGATATTAGAATTAACTTAAAAGGACTTAACAGATAGGATTTAACAGGCGTCGATTTAAATTTGATAGTGTATTCAAAATTGTTTTTGTTTGTGCAAAGTTTGCTAACATACATATGCATATACCATATGTATCTCTAAGTCCCAAAATCAGCGTTTTTTTTATCAAAGCTCCATATTATATATGTATGAATGTGAGTAATTGCTCGAGTTCTGATGTGCCATTAGAAGGAACTAGCACCTGATCCCACGAGAGCCAGGTCTATTATATTTATATGTATCTGGCCTTGATTTGCGGCTACAACAACAATAACAAAAAACTATAGTTTGTTGTAATTTAAAATTATAGTATTAGGTGTTTTTTCGCTTTGAAATGGCTTGGCGGGTTACTTCTTATGCGAAAGCAAGCTCTTCTTGCGTTTGACACAGATCCTCATCGAGCAACGTCTTCAATTCACCGTCATCGAAGGTTTTTGGCCTTCCATTACACGGCCGGTCATTAATATCGAAATGGCCGTATTTGAATCGACGAAACCAACCACGGCACGTTGTTTCGCTTGGGGCACCACCACCGTAAACTATTTGAAGTTCCCGATCTGCTTCAGCAACAGATTTCTTTAATCGAAAGGTGAGATTTATGCTTTCTGCTGCAAGATTTCATACTAAATTCCTAACTAAATAAAACTTATATTAGTTATCATGAACGTTTACATTGTACCATAATCGGCTACAAAAAATTAGAAATTCAGAAAAATAACTGCTAGATTGGTTTCGCCGATTACCGAATAATCGATTGATTTATAGAATTGGATTTTGCTCAAATTACTAAAATCGCATTTCTTCAGAGCTAAAGTTGCTCTTATATTCGAAATATGCGGCAATAAATCTTAAATATTATATTCCGATGTTTTTGACTCAAGTTTTTTGGAATGAAATCAGATTTATTATGTGATTAATTATCAATATCGGAAAGATGCTTTTGTAAGATTTAGGTATACAGTAATTTTGTGAAGTTGATTTTAATTGGAGCTTTTACTGGGATTAATTTTATCAAACTTGTAGTGTTAACATATTTTATTTTGGAAATTTTTATAAAAAGAAGAATAATTTCTAATTTTAAAGAACGGAACTGTTGGGTTCTACAACAAAACAAAAAAAATTGTTGCCCTGGATATTAAGAAATTTTGATATTTTAAATTGCCCAGAAATTTCGTTATGAAAGTGTTGAATTAGAAGTTAAAGGAAATACTATATTCTATTTTAATCAATTATCAGCATGTAAACAATAAAATTTATTTTTCTAGTCATGGTTAAGGATCTGCGCAATTTTCCTCGCATACACACATCATGTGTTCTGCACTCTCAATCACCTTACCGAAAATATGCAAAATATTTTAAGGTTTTAATAAAAATCAAACGTGGAGATACCTAGACTTGCAGTTTACAAAATGTTCTTTTCATTTTATATTTATTTCTTATGTGGTCAAGTTAGGAATGGTAAAACAATTTGTGAACGTGAAAGGATATTATTTTAATTAAAATTGTAAAAAATTTCCAAAGTTTGGTAAGGAAAACTTGAAAGGAGAGATATTGGAATTGATGTATAATATAGTAACTAATTAAAATTTCCTAAGAAACTATAAAGTACCAAATTAAGAATAATTTATGTAAAATATGCTGTCAAATGTTCAGACTCTTCGAGCAAATGGATATGAGGAAAAAGGAGAATGGTTCCAACAGGATTTAAAAGTGATGGAAGAATGGTATTGAGGTTAATGGCATTGATGGCAGATTACTGGAACTCGTTTAAAGAAGATTGCCGACTGTAAAATTATAAAAGAAAAGCTAATAAAAGGCGTTTATTGAAATATAAGACATGCTTCTGACATTTGCATATCTTTTACTTCGAAGGATCCTTAAACAATACTGACATTACAAATATACCTGCTATTTTGTTTCATGTTTTCTGATTTTGGTTTTGTAAAATGATAATAAAGATGTGAAAATAAACGAGAACAAATCTTACAAAATCATTGAAAGTTTCATCAACTGGAGGCACAATTACATATATCCAAATCGATCTTATAACTAGGCCAACAAAGCCACTGGAGACCAGTATAATAAAAGAAGTAAAGAATTTTCGAATGAAGAGGATTACTTTTTCGTAAAAGAGCTGGAATTACCAATCTGTTCAAAAACTGTTAGTCGACTCGTAAAAAGAAATGGCATTAAAGATGTTATTTTTACAGGATAACGATGCGAAACATACTTCAAACTTTTTAAAGCTGGCATATTGGAGATGGAGTAAATCGGGGACCAATTTCACATATTTTCTGCATTAAACTATAGTATATCCAATATTATTCGTTCAATTAATTTAGCTAAGGTATCTTACACATGGACCGATATATACGGTATAAAGCCGACCGGAAGTTTGAAAATTTTGTATGAGGTATATGGGATATAGGGGTAGTATTTACCCGATTTAATCTACTTTTGGCATTACCAGTTTCATTAAGGAACCCCACATATTGACCGAAATATGCAGCATAATTCAACTTAAGGTTCGAAAATCTTTACATTAGTTATATGAGGGCTGGGGAAAGTATTGTCCCAATTCAACCCATTTTTGGCATACCGACATACCATTAACAGGAAGGGGTTCTCTCCGCATTTCAGTAATATATCTCAAACTTTTAACAATATATTCGGTATCTGGGGTTTGAAAAGTTGTTTTCCGAATTTTAAAATTTTTGGGCATAAGACCGATATATTGGTGTTTGATTTGTACACTGGGAAGTTGAAGAATCATATTGAATTTAAAGTTCTGTTACATGGGAAGTAGGTGTGGCTGTAGTCTGATTTTCGCCCTGTAAGATGGAAATGCCAGGGTAATGTTATGTGTCGAATTTGATTAAAATTGGTCGAGAAGCTCCTGAGATATGGGTTTTCAAATAAAGATTTTCAGTGCAGGTCCATTGTCCAATTTTGAGACCGGTTTCTATAAAGACTTTTCGTATCATCTCGGGTGCAAAATTTAAAGTCTCGGACGTATTTATTTATTATATACAGAGTAGATGGGGTTATAATCCGATTTCATCAATTTTTGGAGCAGGTACTAAAAAGATTTGTCATGAGTAAATTTGGATTGGGAGATACGAACAGTATGAACCTATTAGGTGGCGAGGTCCACTTATTAAAATTGTTTTAAAATGTTTTCAGAGGAATAAAATGATGTTCTTCATACCGAGATTTTAACTATATAGAAATCTAGTGGAAATAAAAAAATAATAATGTGACAAATATAATTATTTGACAGTTTCGATGAAGAGGCGAAACAAATCAATATGATTAATGAATTTGCCACGAAATATTAAGAATTTTTTATCATTGTTTTGAATAACGCAGGGCATTATTTTTCGTTCATTCAAAATAACTTCGAAATACAATTTCCCGGAAGACTCCTAGCGCCCTAAGGGGATATTAATTTTATAAATCTAACGCTGAGACAAAAACAAATCTACGAAATTCACCGCTATTGTTTGAGTGCCACACACAATTTATACGTTAACACTCTCATGCATGTAAATATGTGCACACAAGCGAGAATATGTAATCTACACATACATATGTGTATACAATGTATGCAGCTGTGTGTAACAACAACTACATACATACAAGGTACAAATAAGAGAAAGAAATCAAAATAATTAGCCACCACAGCCTACACCATCACTAGCATCAGCACCACTAACGCAGCTAAGCAATCAAATCTTGACAATGGGACGTGATTATTATGCGATAAGAGTTCGCCCGTCGATGGAAGCAGCTACAGCCGTTCACCAGTACGTTTATAATGAGCGCATATGAGTATAATAATTTCGACATACAAACATGAGCACAACGAGAGATAGCTACAAGCGAATAAACACATATTAAGACCAGAAAATTTCTGGAAATTGTAAATAAAACGAAAATGTTTTAATATTTATCAATATTTATTTTATCGCCACCTCTTTTTCAAATCATCGGAACTTGCCTTGTAGACCCGGGTTCGGAATCGCCTTCAGTTCGCTCTGTGAATTTTCTTTTGCGGCCCCAATCGAGTCGAAACGGGTTCCACGGAGTAGTAACTTGAGTTTTGGAAACAAAAAAAAAGTCGCATGGGGCCAAATCAGGTGAATACGATGGTTGATCGATGGTATTGAACGAATTTTTGGTCTTAAAATCGTTCATTATACTCTGTAGCAACATGAAACCAGAAAGTTTCCGGAAATTATTTTTTTCCGATATTCGCGCTTTGGTCCATCATGAATTTCTTCAAATGGGACAGACGGTCAATAACGAGGCGTTTGCGAAAAAACCTCCGTCGTAAACGGCCGTAATTGTGGACCAACAATTTCCGGAAACTTTCTGGTCTTAATTTATGTATATAAACTGAAGTAGATACGAGTAAGTATATATGGTTGTAGATATTTTTGCAACTGAAAGATGTTGCTGCGAGCGCAGCAAGTGAACGTACATATTGATCCCATCGCAGGTTCCACGCGCACTCGCCACATAGACCGCCTGATGAGTGCCAGTACTCATGATCAAATCAAAAAAAATATCTGACACAAAGCTAAGCAAAAGCTCTATGTGAATTGGTCATAAGGGTGCAGCGTGGACGCTGAAAGCCGAAATGAGTGAAAAGCTAACGAATGCGAGAAATAAGCTTCAAAACTGTAAGCGAACAGGCAGCGCAAAGTGGAAGCGGATCGAAGCTGAGCGCAAAGCTGATCAATTCGAGAAAACAGTGTTGAAGCGTTTTTCGGCCCCGATCCGAGTTTAAATGGCGCATATATTATTCATTTTATATTATATGTAAAAAATTTTGCGGGTAACGGCTTAAGTCTTTATACAAATGGTGAAATTCGCCAAATTCTTCTCGTTTGATATTTACGGATGCGTTCCAGACTTTTTTTGTTTAATATTTAGCACAGAGCTGGATTCAAAATATTCTTTATCTGAGGAGTACATGTCTTCTCTTTTCACTTACATAAGCGAAAATAAAATGATCAGATTTAAAAAGAAAAGTAAACACGAACGAGTATTATAGCAAAGAACGCGCAGAAATCAGCGCTGAATCTCGCATTCTCTCTGCGGTACCTAAAATTGATCAGCGCTCGGCTCAGCTTTCAATGTCCATTCTTCAGGCACCATAATTCTCGTATGAACGCAATGAGCGAAACCAAAAGCGAATTTGTTGATATTGAGCGACAAAAGAGTTCTCGTGTAAACCCTCGCAGTCTAAGTAACTCAGCTATTGTGATGATGGGTAGCTGAGTGAGTGACGGCGCTGTCAATTCCTCGCCACACATACACACGCACACACACAATTTTTGCCTGACTGATGTCTACGCTCTAACTACGTATGTTGATATGTATGTCTGCCTTGCCGCTTGTGTAATTGGGTAGCGAGCGCGTTTGAAATGTTCCTATTACGGCTACTTTTGCTTTTCTCCGCTCATCGTTTTATTACACGCGCTGCCAGTAATCAGCGCTGTTTGTATGAAAACAATTTTCCTGGTGATTTGGGATGCTTGCCAGCAGTGCGGTGCGCTCGCTGCCTTCTTATTCACATACATACATCTGAATGTGTTTGCCAAGTGTTGACACCAGACACTAAATATTTTGCGCCCGGCAACGCCAGTCGTTTGGTGACATACCACAAACGGAAAGCAATTGAAATATACGAATCCAGCGCTAAAAAACTACAATAACTGATCAAATTCAGGTCGCTCTACCTCTACTCTTTACTGCTCTTCGCTGACACTCCGACTCGCTTTGATCAAATCATTTCATGTGCGCTCTCAGTCTCAGTATCTGTCTCTGTCAATTGACTGTTTCAAATTTCTTGAAGAAACCTAAGCGGCGGATTAATGCCGCACAGTGACGCTAATCGCCCATCTGTGTGGCTTTCTTAACATCGTACACTCCTTACTTCACCCCCGGTACACCTTCACGCGGCGTTCAACACAATTTTGCTCTCAGCGACTGCCGCTGCTGCCTCTGGCCACACCGCTTTTTTTTTTGTTCGCTTTATTTTTACTTGCGGTGGTGTGGCTCTCCACTCGGTGGCGCGATGAACTCTTCTAAGCATACACCGCAAAATAGAGTTCACCTTCATTTTCATTATTGCTGGCGAGTAGTAGACATACAAACATGTGTGTATGCATGCGATTGATAAAATATGTATACTCATACATAATTAAATAATTATTTACTGTTCCGCTTATGAGTTGCTCCGAGTATGAAAGTCGCTTATTAAGTTTTAAATGTATTTACTGTTGAAATTTGTGTAAACAACTTTATTATAAATAAAATAAAAAATGGTAAAATATAGTCAGCTAGCTTGAAGATGTAGGCTTTTAAGCAATTTATCGTTTCGTACGAACCTTGTGTATATGTGTGTACGTTTACAAAAAATTAAAAAATATAATATACATATGTACATATGTGTACATATTTTTTTGTTCTTTAAGCAAGTGTCAGAAGAATGCTTAACTTAACTGTTAACAGGTGAGCTATTAAATAAATGCTCCATTTTGTTTGTTGTTGAGGTTTTGAGAGATTCTGCTGAAGTAATCGAAATGTTAACAGAGCAAAAATTTATAAAAATTATTTTCGAAATATCTACCAATATTATTATATTTCAAACCTTATTTCTAGCTTACAACCGAACGACGGATACTTTTATATTTTTTCTTTTTAAAGAAATAAGGCTTGCACTGTAGAGTACATACGAATAAAGTGCCAGAACTAAGCCGTAAATTAAGATACAGAACTCAAATTTGACACAACGAATAACATTATGAAGGTAATGTTGGTATGAAAATTTTTAAAAATTGGGAGTGGCTCCGTCCCCCAATAAGTTTAATATATTGTGTATATCTTCAAATCTCTTTAACCCGTCTTAGGATAGTGCGAAAATAGGTGAAATCGGATGAAAACCCCGCCATATAACGGTTTTGTTAAAAACTACTAAAGGTGCGATAAATCAATAACGTCAATTAATGCGTCAGTTACATTAAATTTTACATTCAGGATGGCACAAGATGTCACTTTAAGGTGAAATCACATATCTCGGGTCCTGCTCCAAATTTGCTACATAGGATTATTTATATTCCCATACTACGGTAGGTAAATAGACGAAATCGGCTCGCAATCACGTCTACTTCTCATATAACACAATCATTCCAGTATACAAATAAAGCACCAATTAATGTAGCGGGATAAAACTTCTCCCGAAAAGTGTCTTTGAAGTATGCTAGCTTATGACTAAATATTGTCCAAATGGAACCAAAACTGTTTAAGCCCTAGGTACCGAACACGTGCACCCTTAGAGCCATTGTCATTGTGTGAGATATATGTATAATTGAAATTCGGCGAGAATCCTTTCCTGAAACGAGTCAATACTTCTTTTAGCCTTCATATACCTAATAGAAAGATTTTCGATCTTCCGGCTGACTTTATACCGCATATATCAGCGTGTTTTTCTAATAACGTTGCATCTGTGAACCTAAACAGGGTGAAGACTTCTCAAACATCCGGTTGAATTTTCTCCCTATATATTGGTGATGGTATGTGAGGTACCTTTATAAAACACAGAGAACGTCTTTTTCTGCAAATAATGTGCAAAAATAGATAAAATCGAGTCATACTACCCCTATCTCCTATGGCTTTATACCGTCTAAGATGTCTTAGCAAAATTAACTGAACATATGTGAAGTGTGCAATTTTCCCAAACCCCCATATAATACATAAATGATTTTCGCCGTCTTTGATCCTTGTCAGTTGCAAGAGTATTATATGCTCGGTTACACCTGAAGTCTTTCCTTACTTGTTCGTTTTGAAATTCAGAACACTATTTCTACACGTAATTTACGAACTAACGTTAATGTTTTTCATTTTACAATAGCAAACTAATAGTTTTAATTTTTTCATTTCAGGTGACCGAGCACCGAGTTATGAGGGACACCGTAATTCAACTTTTTTTCGAGACGCTCCAGAGTAATTGCTACCATTGTCGTATATTTTAATATTTCTCCACGAAAATCGAATAGAGTATTTATTAAATGTCTACTATATATAATGTAGCATTGGTTTGTTAAAATAGATTTTAACGGTTTCATACAAATGGGTAGTGTTTTACACGAATCAACCCTACTCCTCCTTTAATTAAAATTCTTTTTCAATTTAAAGAAACGAGTCAGCAAATTTTCTTAAAATATATGCGCTATCAAAACTATAAATTTGCATACATTGGAAGACTCTATATTACCTGATGAAGTGGATCTCTTTCATAAATTATTTAGGTACCGCTTTAAGCGGTATTCACACCCGGAATTGACTTACTATCACTCGATTATAGCATTCATAATGATTCAAAGGAATATGATATCATACTTTTATCAAATGGAAATGGTTTTAATGAGGCAAGTGTGTAAAGTTTGCTGAAAAGTAATGAATAGTATATCGTTCTTTATAAGCAAAACGAGTTTTAAAGCAATTTTTTTTTATTTGTGGAAGTATTCACAGTTATAATAGGACTTATGTTGGAGAAAAGACAGAAAGGTTTAACAGACCAAAAAATCTAAGAGAACAGAAAAGCAGTAACGAATGTTTTTCAGTCTCTGAATCGACTCGAACACTCTTCATATATATAGTCAGACAAACTACATAAGTATGTCAACTTTCAGATTCGATTGAGAGCAATCGGTTGTTGAAGGAGTGTGATAAGCTGGAAACCTTTCAAAACTACATTACCTTACAAACAATTACGGTTCTTAAAGAAAATGTCAGGAGAGTGGATTTACTGATTCTGAATTATTAAGGTTAGTATGATAACTAACAATAATGAGAGACCCCGCTTAGAGAGTAAGGAGATACCTCCTCATGTCATGATATATTCGAATAAAATTAAGTCAGCGGTTTCTTTGACGACAATGTGGTTTGCAGCAAAAAGTGTATTAAATCGGTCCATACCTTCTACTAGACCTATACAATCATTATTATGGTTTCTATATTTTAGTCAAATTCAAAGGGAGTGTCTACTCAATATATTGATTATTTTTTCCTAGATGATTCTTACTGTGGATATCCGCAAAAAATTAAGATCTCTTAAATTAAATTAGTTTATTTGGTCACGATAACGGGTAATACCTTATACACGTGTATATTTGTAGTATTATAAATTTTAAATGATATTATATTTAGAATATGAAACAAAATATAATAATGAAATTCAGTACATGGACCTATAGTATAAGGCATTAATTCTTGCGTAATGCGTGCGACAGTATCTACCCTGCAATCCACCTACCGATTAAATAACCGGTTAATTACCCGACAGCACTACCAGAGATTTCTGTTAAAATGTATACAGTTTCTCAAGGTACGATTAACAATGCTAACCGAAACTCTTGTGTACATAAATATGTATAATCGTTCCGCGATAATTCTTTCAATGTATTGGAGGGTAATGTTCAACACATCCTTGTGAATTATTAAAATTGTTTACTTAGAACACAGAGGAATAACAATTATTTCCTACGAAAAGTTATAATTTAAAAATATCTACCTATATACGTGTGTACATGGATTGCAATGTAAGTACATGTATTACTAACATACAAGGTATTCTTATGTGCCTTCGCTTATATTGCTTGAAGTCCGAATCATTAAAAGCTCATAGTCAACAGCAAAAATGGTAAACGAATTAAATACATATTTGGGTTAATTTTTCAATTCCATTGATTGTTGTAGTTGTTATCGTTGTGTTAACTCGCATTTTTCCCGAGTGTGTTAGCATAATCATTATCTTCATTTACAAAGTGGCAACAACAACGACAACTGACAGCTCAAATGCAATTTCGAAGAAGGCCAAAAGAGTCAATGACGAGAGCATTACATTTATTCACGTCTATACATATAAGTATATATGTATCTAACATATGTGCGTATGGATATACTTATGCGTATTGCTCATAGGAGTAACGCTTCTGTAGTTATGTATTGTGATTACATTTATTTGTTGCACGGCATAACAGTACGCTTGCAAAACTCTACTTTCACACTTACTCACTAAACACTCGGATACTCGACCGTGTGTGAACTAATCTAAAAGTGTGAGTCGAAACGACGACGGCGAGGTGTATTGCAGCTCGGCAAATGAGTGGCGAGGGAGACAGCCAGTCGGTGCAGATACCGACCGTCGTGAGGAGAGACGGAGAGACAGAGCGCCCAAACGCCAGTTGCTCAGTTTTAGTAGATTTTCCATCCATTTTTCTTCGCTGTTCGTACCTCAATTTATTTAAATATCTGCATATGTCACAGTTAGCTGGTATGTGCGATGCGCAGTTACTGTAAATAATTTCCTACCCAAAGATAGCAAATATTCCACCATGCAAAAAACAATAAAATTGTTATTGGTCCCATACATGAAGTATGTATTAGTGTGCGAATACTTGCGCCAACAGCATTTACGATTATGTTTGCATGTATGTATGCATGTTTTTGTCTGCCTTCTTGTTTCGATAGCTCACTGGCTTTCCAGCCAGCTGTGTTGTTATTGGGGTTTGCTTAAGAATTGAACTGAGAGCTGCACTAAGCTCCGCCGCCAGTGGATCTTGCTCTTTGTAGATTTATTGCAAAACTTTTTTATAAATATTATCATATACTTATATTCATATGCAAATACATAAGTATGTATGTACAAAAATATATGTATACATATATACTCACATGTTTACTTAGGATACAATTATGCTCCTTTGGCATTTTCTATTGGTTTATTCGACTTTAGTGGCAAAGTTTTGTGACATATTTTCGTATATATTCACATATGTACATACCTACACATATACATACATATCTATGCATACACATTTACATGTAGGTTTGATGGCCAAGCGTAGGTCACATTTTATTATTGCTTGATTACGCCTGATATAAAATCATCACTAAAATACTTGATTCTCCGCCTTAGTGATGACTACATATTTGTATATAAACAAGTAAGGAAGGACTAAGTTCGGGTGTAACCAAACATTTCATACTTTAGCAACTTGGCAAGACCTTCGGGTCCAAGGTCTAAACCAATTCCATTCATATTCAGCGCTAAGCCATTAACATACTTTTATAATTGTTCAAAGAACTTGTCTACTTAATTTAATTAAAATAACACACTTTTTGATCCACCTAAACGGTTTAAAGTCAGGTGGAAAGGGCAAAGATTGGGGGCAGAGACATGGAAGAGCTGATTGCACTAATTTTTGATATTGTTCAGGTATACTTGATACACTGTTATTAGAAAAATACGCTATCTGAATTTCATTAAAATAACTCCCACATTGGCTGATTTATGTGGTATAAAGTCAACTGGATGTTCGAAAATCTGTATACTAAGCTTTATTTGAGACAAGGGTATATTATTATGAAAGAAACATCTTTCCCGAATTTCAACAACATATCTCACACATTGACCGATATTTCTGGCAAAAATTCAGCCATACGCACTGGAGTCGACATATGCGGTATGTGGTGGCTTGAACTGTTATAGTCCGGCTTTAAAAGTTTTTAAACTTGAGATGACATACTTCAAACGCACTATTTGAGTTTAATCCCAATATATTCATTGGTGGTTCATTTGTTCATGCCACATGCGAAGTATGCGTGGTTGTAGTCCTATTGCGTCTATTTTCACAATGTAACATAGAATCGTCAGAATAATGTTATGAACCGAATTTGGCGGTGCCGCTCACCCCGGATCCTATGAAGCCCTCTTTTATCATCCTGCGTTTAAATTTTAATGTCTTTGGCCCAGAGGTCTATATCTTAATTAAGTGCTTAGTTATGACATTTGTTTTGTAAGCATGGCAGTGGTCCGATTACGTCCATCTACTAACTCGTCCTCACTTTTTCGCCAAGGAACACATGTAACGTTCATTAAGATATCTTAATTTTTACTCAAGTTCAACCCTCCTTTGCGATTCATTTCTGTTTAACCACTATTTTGCTTTCTAAGATCAGGGTGCGTATAAGTCTCCGCAATTCGTGGTCATTATGTAGTCGTATTCTTTTAGTTTTCAGTATAATATTTTAATATGTTATTAATGTGAAATTTAGCCCCGTTTAAGTGCCAATTAGTATTTTTAAACTTTATGTGGATTATAAAATTATCATAAGGGGCTTTTTCTTAATAACAGTGGCATAATTTTAGTAAGTAATCATTATTCTTTCGAACATCATATTTCTTTTTAGAAAATATGTATTCCAAACACAAATAAAAATAGTGTACGTTCTGTAAATGTGAACGTAATTGCTGTTATTTATATTACTTATAAATTAATCTATCGGTAAATTAACTGTATTTATTCAACTATAACTGGATTTCAGTAGTAAATCAACGCTTAATCTGATAGCGTTCATACCACCAGTCTTATCACTAATATTTATTATATTTTCTTCGCTGTCTTCGATGTGTAAAATATTGGAAGTTGGGAGTACGTACATAGGTTGTCTTTAATATTTCGGGTTTTGACAACCCTAGGGTAGACTTTATCATAATGTTTGACATTTTTGATGTTATACATACTCAGAACGTTTTGACATACATATGTGTGCGCGCTATTTGTGTTGTTGACAGTAACTTAAAATATTAATTTCTGACAAAAAATTTTAATAAATCGAGAACATTTTCGCGAGATTATTTTTTCCAACTTTCGGAGTAGATTAACTCTTTTGATGGTATGGTGAGTTCAATCGAAGTTGTAGATCACTCCAAGACGAATTTTGTGAAAGTCGTCCAAAATTAGTTGTTGTTCCTGACACTATTGATGCTGAGTTATGAATGACTTTTCCACCAAAACTTCTGACACCATTGATATTTGGTGCACCTGGTCAAAGATCTAGCTATGGATACTGCAACACAACTTACAACAAGCGTTTCATGGAATTGCCGCAGCAGAGTGAGACGATTATCGGTCGGTTAGAATTAAGTTGTTATTTTGAATAAAATAAATTATTTTGATGAATAAAGATTTGAATTAATTTGACATCCAACCGGATCACAGCTTATTAATGTTTAACTTGCTGAGCGCAAACTGATATTGCAAAATCGTCATATTACTTATCGTGAGATTGAGACATACATATATAGGCATTATGGGAAACATTTCACTCTAAACAAATTTGTTCACGTTGGGTCGACCATACCACTAAAACAACGCAGAACAGTTGTACACACCCATTTGTTTGCCAGTTGTCTTTCAAGAAATCATTAAAACTGCTGAAGACGGATCATGCTCACCCCGACAATACGAGCTCTCACACATCGACTGAAATAACTGCAGTTTTGAGCACTCAAAACATTGATTTGAAGAGTCATCCACGTATAGTCCTAACTTGGCACCGAATGAATTATTTAAAAAACAAGGGTATACATCTTAAGAAGGAAAAAACTTAAAAGCGAGAATTTCAGTATTAGTAAGGATCCCCTTAGCACATACCTAACAGTTGCTTGCAACTCCTGAAACTAATCGAGATTGATACCTTATATAAATATTTTCAAATTACCGGTTGTTTAATGCCTTATATATTGGTCAATATGTGAGGTAGCTCATTGAGAGTTTGTGACCGTCTAGATGCCTTAATGCCAAAAATTTAATGTACTAAGTGTACTAAACCTAACTCCCATATATATCCCGGTATATTAATATGTAAGATTCTTAGCCAGTATACTTGAGCAATGTCAAAGGAATAAGTTAGACCCAAATACACTCATTACCGATTTTTCAATTTCAAGCTGACTTTGAACCGTGATATTTCAAAGATATGTGTGTGATGAATATGATTATAAACCTCATTTTCCTATTATATTATTTTCCGTCCCTCTGGTATTTTCCGTCCCTCTGGTTGATCAATATCCCATTATATTTAGCAACATTGGTTGAGTTTATATCATATATGTATGTATGTATTTACTATGTACCATATATCTCAT